TTGTGGGAAGAGGGGACACCTGCACTTCCCTAAACCCATGTTTACAGTTAACACAGCTGCCACAGGCTGGAGCACATCACACGCCCCCTCCCTGGCCCTCACCCTCACCGCCTGGGCTCAAGAGGAGCCCTTGGCCTCTGGAAGGCAGGGCCTAACCTCAGGTCGAGATGTCCCGTGGGAGCTGAGGGACACCAGTGCTGGCTCATGGAGCCCAGGTGCTGGCCTGTCCCCTTACCCAACTCCAGGGACCATGAAGTCTCCCCTGCACTCCTCCCTAGGCTGGAGCCACACCCCAGAGGGACACAAACCCCATCCACCAAGAGGCCCATAGGTGTCAGGAGGGAACTGCTTCTTGGTGACCCAATTTTTTTTTTTTTTTTTTTTTTTGAGACAAGGTTTTATGATGCAGCTCAGGCTGGCCTTGAGCTTACTTTGTAGCCCAGGCTAATCTTGGGCTCTCAATAACCCTATTGCCTCAGCCTCCCAAGTGCTGAAATTACAGTCTTGTGCCATCATGCCCAGTAATACTTTATTTCTTTAAGCAGTATCATTTTCTGAACATAAGTGTATTTCTGATCATCTGATCACTGTTCACATACTTATTCTAAGAACTTTGGGGGTGATATTGGAGATTGAGCTCCCAACTTCATGCTTCCTAGGCAGGCACTGACTGTAAGAACCTTGTAAGGTAAAACTATGAAGACCCCTACCGCCTTTCACATAACCACTTCACTTTTTCTGTTTATTTATGGAATTGTCCCGTCCCTCCTGGGAGTGCAGTCTGCTTTGCAAGTGCAATAGCTTAAACACGCAGATTAATTTTCCTCACTAGGTAGAAGATCTGAGCACCCTCAGTGCTCTGCTCCACAATGTTAGGTCTAGCATCTCTGCGAGTCTCTAGCATTTCCCTGCAGCTCCAGCCACCGAATCTATATTCACGACCAATAAATGCAATCATTTCAGCATTTTTATTAGGAGAACAAAACCTTCTTTGTAGATCTCATTGGCCAGAACATGACCTTCCAGCCATCCCTAGCAACAGTCAATAAGATTGTCATGATTCACTCTCACTTAGCACCTAAGAGTGGGCATGTGACTCCCCCAAACAAACTCAAGGAAGGAGGGAAGGAAGTGTGTCGCGTTCAGTTTGGGTGCTGTTTTATAAACTAAGTGATAGATAACCAACATTCTCCACACCCACACAGTGGCTCGGCCCTTGGTCTAACAGCTGTTCACCGTGGGCACCGCACTCTGGGAACATGGCTGGACCCTGAGGACGCCCACACGAGGGGCTGCAGCCTCATGGAGTTCGGTGCTCCTGCCAGAGACTGAAACCATCGAAGGCAGATGCCAGGCAGGGCGCTGGGTCCCGAGAGTCACCGGAGAATGGCCCACAGTGTCTGGGGGGCTGCCGCGGTGATCAGCTGGTGTCTTGGGCTGGACAGAGGTTCTCCCTGAAGTCGGGCTCTGTGGGTCAGCACCTCCACCCACACCCTCTCTCCGGCCACGCCCGCACAGGGTCCCCCTTACCCAGAGCCCCAGGAGAGGGGCCCTGCTCTGCACTGCGCCTGCACAGGCTGCTGTGGCACTGTCACAGGCTTCTGCGTGGCTGTGCCGGGCGGTGCAGGAAGAGCCCTGGTCCCCTGGTCCGCAGTGCCGCCTGCTGTCTACTGCTTCATCTTCACAAAGCATTGCCTGTGCACCAGGAGATCGCGGTCTCTTGTTGGTCTGCTTTGCATCCCTGGGATCTCCAGAGGCTGATGGGTTCTCCCTGGCTCTTCACGGGCTCACAGAGTGGTCCCGTGTGCAGACTCCTCTTCTGTGTGACTTTTAGCTTATTTGCGCTCTCTCTCTCTCTCTCTCTCTCTCTCTCTCTCTCTCTGTCTCTCTCTGTCTCTCTCTGTCTCTCCCTATCTCAGTCTCTCTGTCTCTCTCTGTCTCACTCTCTCCCTGTCTTAGTCTCTGTCTTTCTCTCTCTCTGTCTTTCTCTCCCTATTTCAGTGTCTCTCTGCCTCTGTCTCTGTCTCACTGTCTGTCTCTGTTTCTCCCTATTTCAGTCTCTTTCTGTCGCTCTGTCTCTCTCTCAGTCTCTGTCTTTCTCCGTCACTCTCTCTGTCTCTGTCTGTCTCTCCCTCCGTCCCTCTATCTCTGATGCATGAGCGTCCGTCTCACCTCCCAGGGTCACGGAGCTCCCTCTGTGGAATCCCTGCCTGCGGCCACTGCTTCTTCCTTGCCTCTCTTGTGTGTACGGACTAATGGGACATTAAACTTTCCTTCCTCAGGGGGCTGTTCTGCTCCAGAGCCATGGGCAGGTCCCCAGGGCTCAGACTAAGCCCGAGCTCCATGGCAGGAAACCCAGGCACCTCATGAATTCCCGCCTTCCTCTCTAACATTGAGCTCCAGCACCCCACCAGGCAGGCCTCCTCCAGCTTTCTGGGACTTCCTCTCCCTCTGTCCTCCGCAGGGTTCCTCTGAACCACATCTCTAACTGAGATGGCCTTGTCCCTCTGTCCCACGTGTGGTTGGCCTGGCTCACATCTTCCCAGCTGTCCCATCCAGACAATCCTTAGGGAAAGAGAAACCTGTGCTTCCCTGTACTTTGGAGTCACTGGGCAAATTCAATCAAAGCTCTAACCATGGCAGACTTCTCTGGGTGGTTAGGAAATGGGTTTTTAAGGCTCCCAAGAGCATGTGAGGCCGCTGGCCCAGGCAGCCCTCAAACCTGTGCATTAGAAGCACTGGTGACGTAGTGCTCAGATGCCAGCTCCGTGCCCACATTGCTGTCGGATGGATGTCTGCACCCAGCACACTGCCCCCTTCCCCGCAAAGCACATGACTTAGGAACTCAGAGGCACCAGCTGGCACCATGACTCGGTACCGATGGCAGGCATCAGGCTCAGCTCAGTCTTGTCCCCTTTCTCCAGCTCTGTTGCTCCTCACTTTGGCTGAGTCATGGGGCTAGAAACACCAGCAGGCAGAGGCCCCTGACAGCCAGCCAAGGACACTGACACTCACACAGGCAGACACGGAGGGTGAGCTAGAGACACAGCTGCGCATGCACTGGGACAGATCTGGAGGACAGGTGCCACAGGGTGGACTCAGCCCTGGGAGGGGGCAGGGCGGGTTCAGCCTCAGGGAGTGGGTAGAATTTGAGCTGGACCTGGAGGATGGAAGAGGGGATGGAGGGCATCCAGGCGAGGGAGCGCACTGGGAGAGGCAGCCTGGCATGAAGGTCGTTCCTCCAGTGAGACAGCGCTGGGGGAAGGGGCCCTGGAGGCCGGGTCGTGAGGATCTCAGAGGCCCAGCCAGGCAGTCTGACCTTTTTCCAGTGGGCAGGAGGGAGCCTTGGGGGTGTGGGAGAGAAGGTGTCCCCCTTCGTGCTGGCAGCGCTCTGTGGAACTTGCTGCCTGGTTTCTTCGGTCACACTGACTTGGCGTGGGCCACTGGGCAGCTCCCTCTGGGAGCCAGAGAGCCTGCAGCACCATTCCCTCTGCTCGCTTCCACTTCTCCGGAGAGATGGGCAAGTTACCTGGTCTCTCTGAGACTCAGACTCCCGTAAAATGGGCTCAGTACCCCACCTTTGCAGATTTCAGGGATGAGATAAAATCAGGTGAGCCCAGTATGGCAGGTGTGTCATTCAGTGTAACTGCATTCAGGCTGAAGAGAAGGTGGCTTCAGGGAGCAATTCGAGGCCCAGAGGATCTTCTGAAAGTCCAGCTCCACCACTGTGACACCCATCCTTCAGACCAGACTCAGTAAGATGCCACTCAGGAAGCCCCTGCACTCAGGAGGTGCCCTTGAGCTTGGTGGCTGCCTCACCTGGCCCAGTACACACATCCTGCTGTTCCTCCTCCTGGGAGGCGTCACGCCCAAGCCATATGGGGCTCCCCCTTTCCTTTGGCCCTTTATCCGAGTCTCTGTGCTGCTCTTTCCCTGCCTGCAGCCATCAGCACTCAGCAGCCCCCTTACCCCACCCCCCAGGGAGCTGTGACTCAAGTCTTCTCCCTGGTGAATCCACCCACTGCTGTCTTGTTCCCCAGCGGGACAGAGTAAGCCTCCTGCAGAGAAAGGCAAGTGGGGCCCAGAAGGAAAGCCAAGAGCCTGGCCCTGTGGAGTGGTGATGGGTTCCTCTCCAGGACGGCCTTAGAAGCAGTCAGTGAGAGAGTGGCTCATCCCAGTTCACACAGCAGGGACAGGCAAAGGCTGAGTGCAAGGCCAGGAGTCTCATTCTCAGAGTCTTGGGATGACAGGCGCGAGCGCTCCTGGCACACAGTGGCAGACCCCTGCTCCCAGCCCTGGGGTCACTCTTCTGGCCCACCCATTCCCTGGAGCGCCAGCTCCTCTCCAGAGAGCGGAAACTTCCCAAGTGCCGTGGTCCTGACTCCTGTGTGCTGTCAACACTCCTGCCCTGCACCTCTGGGGACATCTTGCATCCTCCCCTCAGCCAGGCACAGACATCAGAGGCACTGGGGGTCCTACAGGAGCCTGCATGGTGACGAGGGAGGACAGTGGTACGGTCTGGCACAGGAGCAAGTGAGGGAGCTCTGCAGCCCCTGCTGTGGCTGCCCACACCTGTGGCCATCAGCGAGCTCTGGGAAGCCCTGAGGAGGGGACAGCACCCAGGCCCTTGAGGCAGGCATGCCATGGCAGAACCCCTGCCAGCAGGAAAAGGGTTCAAACCACAAAGAGGACCGGCCCTTCCTGGCTGTAGGGTGAGTGCCGCTCCTTTGTCAATCGAGCTTTAGCTTTCATCTAGGCACCTTCCTCCCAGACAGGGCTGGTGAGGGTCCCCCATCAATGGTCAGAGTCACCAACCCGCTTCCTGACTCCAGCTAGTCCACGGCAGCGTCTCCTAACCTGCCTAACACAAGCCCACGTGTGACCACAGGTCCTTTCTCAGACTTGCCTGCAGAGGTAGCCAGAAGTGCCTGTAGGGCACGTACTCCCGCAGCAAGCACCAGGATGCTGGGTGCTTCCAGTCCCTGGCTGCAGGGCGTGGGCAGATGGAGCCCTGAAAAGCCCTCTCCCTGTGAGCCCCGACAGATGCAGCATGTGAATTCACCATCTCCTGTTTGACCAGGAGGAAGCTGAGGTCCCCAGAGATGACAGAGCAGGAGGATGGATACCTAATTTGTCATCTAGCAGATTGGCATTGAGAGCGGCAGGGTCTGGGACAGCCAAGAGGGGACAGGGTGTGAGCAGGGGCATAGCCTGGCCCAGGGCTGGCATCTCTTGCTGGTAGGCCTGGCGGCCAAAGGCTCTTGACTGTGACGAAGGTCCTTGCACCACAGAGCCACCCACATGGCTGTCCTGAGTCACGCCATGGTGACTGCTGCTGCCTCGGGCAGGGCCCACAGTGCCAGCTGGGCACGGTGCCGCATTTGTCCTGCCCAGAGGGGCAGTGGTGTTTGCCGGCGAATAAAAGTAACCTCTTTCAGTGTTGAGGATGTTTTTATTTTAGTCATGGTGTTGGTGCCCCCTCTGCTGTGGGTCACAGGTGTCCCTCCCTTGACCAACACAGCAGTGAGGAACACGCAACACTTCACCTTGTCCATGACCTGGGTATGAGCAGGGACACTGCTTCCGCATCAGCACAGACAGACAGACATGCCTGTCATTCCCTCACAGCAGACTTAAAAAAGTTCAGGCCTCTAGACTCAGCTCAGACCTTTTCTTCCCTGAGCCCGGACCACTACGCCCCAGCGAGGACCCTGCCCATGTGACATCCCCCACTCCCAGGTGGCCCAAGGTGAAACTTGGAGTACCAGACCTGGTCTGAGGCAGCACTCAGCCCCTGGTCTGCATTTCCCTGTCCCTGGGCTGCACCTGGGGCTCTGCAGAGATCAGTAGCATCCGGCGCTCCTGCAGGAGGTGCCGCTCTCCTGTTGCCTTCTCGGGCCCTGTCACCCTGCTCCCCTGGATGTCAGCTTCCTACATACCTGCTCTCACCTCGCCTCTGCTCTACATTGTTTCTAATGCTCACTGAAGCGTGAGTGCACTGACATCAAGAACCATCCCAGGGGTTCCTGTCTCTTCCCCCTGAGGTCCCAGCAGAGCACCTGGCGCATAGCAGGTGCTCAGTGATGACCTGCTGCACATGGAATTAAGCCCGCAGCCTTCTGTTACCTCACCCCAGCCAGTGCCTGCACTGGAGGTGTGCTGGCATTGTCTGGGTTGTTGCCTGCCCCGAGACTGCACAGGGTGTTGGAGGTCAGGGACCCAGGAGGCTGAAGGGTCGTGAAGTAGGGATGGCGACCCTAGCTGCAGAAGGTGCCTGGGACTTTGAATTCCACATTGCCTCAATGGCCACAGCTCAGGTCACTGCAAGTGCCAAGGTGGGTAAAGCAGGATGCCAACTGGAGCGGGAGGCAGGCAGGGTGCCACAGCAGGAGTGTCCAGCTCAGAGGGACCAAGCAGAGCAAGCTTGGTCCCACTCTAGGAGCTGTGACATCAGGAGAAGCATGCAGGGGAGCGCAGGTCCCCTCTGCGAAGAAGCCAAGGGTGGCCTGGGGGAGACAAGCCCAAGCCTGGGCTGCAGGATGGGGCTAGAGGTCATGGTGGGGCTGTCAGGGCTGAGGTCAGAGGTTGGCAGGGCCAGCCACAGAAAGTCAGGGATCCCAGCACAGAATCAGCAGGAGCCCTGGGCCAGGGAGGACACGGACAGCCCTGGTGAGATGGGCCACTCTATTGATTAGGTATCAGGGGCCAGTGCAGAAGATCTGGGCACAGACAGCACCATGAGGCCAGCTCTGGAGGATGGGAAAGGGTTTTGAGGACCTGGCTGCTGTAAATACTCATCACATCATGTTTCGCCTTCAGTTTGTCTGAGAAAAGGAACCATTAGAGCGATTGTCCAGAGAGCAACCACCCCTCCCCAGGTTCCCTGACAGCCCCTGAGACGCTCTCAGGGGAGCCCCCACCTCATTTGTCTCTCCTGCTTGCAGTTCTTCATCTGCAGAAACCAGTGAGTTCAAAGGGGGTTCACAATGATCCTGGCGGGGAACTAGGGAGCAGCTCCATCCCAGCCCTGGACATCAGGCTCAAAGCCTAGTTCCTTGTCCGGAAGGGGGTCACCAGGGCTGTCAGGCAGCCCATAGTATAAGTCCTCCTCTTCCACCTCAGGCTCCTCCACACCTGTGTGCGAGGCCTTCTCCTCCCCGTCCCCCTCTTTCCTCCTGGGGTACTGCTGCCAGCTGCTGAGCAGGATTACCTCCTGCCTCTGCCCCTGTCGGGCATCCTCCAGCGTGGGGGCGTCATCGATCAGGGCAGCATCACAGAAGTTATCCAGTGGGCCTCTGCGGGCCCTAGGCTCCTGCTGCGGGGACCTGGGGGCCTCTCCATCAGGCAGAGATGGGTTGGGGCTGCTACCTTCACTCAAGCCCATGTCCAGGTCGTCTTGGAAGGAGGCCAAGGGTGCAGGGCCCTGGGGGTAGCCTGGCAGGCTGCAGGGGCAAAGAGCATGAGTTGTGGGTGACTCTGGTCAGACCATGGGGTCCAGATCCCAGACACTAGCTGCAAGACCTGGGAGAGACAAGTTCACCTGTCTCGGCCTCAGTTTCCTCCCCTGCATAGTTGGATAAATAATAATAGTCACTCTTGTGGGTGTTTCTGAGATTTATAGCAGATAATGTGGGCAAAGCACTTTGTACAACCCTGGTACATAGTAAGTGCTCAGGACACAACGCAGTTCTGTTATTATCCAAGCAAGGCCACTCATCCACTTCCCCAGGCATTCAGGGTTCTCCCCTGTCATACGGGGGTGCCCTCTGTTCCCCAGTGGCCTCTCCTAAGGGCCTGGGAGTTCCTGAAGGTTAGAAGCCAGTCAGGGCACAGCAGCAAGGTGGTGCCCAGGAAAATGGATGGGATGAATAAGGAAACAGATGCGCCAGGAGCACAGCTCTCACACAGCTGGGGACAGGAGGGCAGGAAGCAGGCTGGCCGCCCACGGTCTCAGAACTGGCTGGCGGCTCAGCTAGGATCAGAGCACGGATCCCCTGCTGTCGCGACAGGGAGGAGCCCACTGAGCTCCAGGCACTGCCGTGCATGGTCCCAGTCCTCACGATGGCCCTGTGGAGGAATGACTGTTCCCACCAGGAAAGCGAGGCCAGGACAGTAAGGACCCTGCCACGTTCACACAGCCAGAGAGCTCACCGGCTCCACCTGCGGTCTCTGAGCCCCTGCCCCAGTGCTCATCCTCTCACTCCCCAGTGTCCCCGCCCCCTCAGCGCACCCCCTCCTGTCCCCTGGGACCAGGTGGCTCCCACCCAGCTCCTCGAACTCACCTGCGGCCGCTCTGAGTCCGGGTCCTCTTTCCCTCACTCTCATCCAAGCCTCTATGGACGACCACAGCCGCCTCCACCCAGGCCTGAGCCTCTCCAGGGCCACCTGTGCCGCCATCCCCGGTCCTCGGCTCCAGCTTGGGGGCCAGCAGCGGGTGGGAGTCCCCGTGGTAGCCAGTGGCCTTCCCATGGATGTGGCTGAAGTCGGGCAGGCTCTGGTCGTAGGCAGCCTCCTCCCACAGCCTGGTGTAGGGGATCTGGGGGCTGGGCCAGGGTGGGAGAGAGAAGGGATAGGGTCACACTGTGGCCTGGCTCTCCCCAGCCTGTGCTCTCCCCAACTGACTGAGTGTCCTGAGAGCCTCAGGGGACACGACTATGCCCGTCCCATGAGGAGGCCAGAGCCCGGTGGGATGAGAAGCCAAGCGCAGAGCCCTGTGCGTCCTTCACACAGGGGAGCAGGAGGAGCAGGGCGGGGAGCACGGAGTCCTGCCACTTATCTCTGCACTCGAGGGTGCCTCAGAGGCTGGCCCGATGCGGGGCTCCTCACCTGTCAGCCCCTCGAATCCCCCTCCACCCTCAGCACCTATGAGGACACTGAGGCACAGGTGCTGACCCCAGCTTGTACTCAGTGACCCAGGCGTAAAGTGCTGGTGCTGGCCCCAGGCATCCTGTTCTGTCACTGTGCTCAGGCTCTGGGTCCCCTGCCCAGAGCCAGATGCGTGGGAGGTGAGAAGAAAGACCCTAGGACCTGGATGACCTGCCCCTGGCTTGACACAGCCCCCTCACTTTCCCAGGAACCTCCCTCTCCTTCCCACAAGGACACCATTAAACCTGTGTGCTGGGACCAAACAGAGAAGACAGAGTCCCGGGCCCACAGGGAGGGCTTGCATGGAGTCGGCAGATACCCACCATGCTCTGGGGGCTGAGTGATGCCCTGCCAGGCAGCTGTGGCCTGGTCAGCCTAGAACTCAGGCCCTGCCTCTGCCCCACTCTTACGAGATCTGGGGGTTGGGACTGAGTTCCTCTCAGCCTCAGTTTCCATATCTAAAAAGTGGGGTTAAGAAGGCTTTGCTAACTCAATAGAGCTCAGAACAACCCATGCTAACACCACATCCTCGGGAGGGAGGGAGCGGGGCTGGAACTGGAATGAGTGTGTGTGGCCCATGGCCCCCTTCTCTCCCTCTGGCTGGCTGCCTGAGCCTGCACCTACCTCTTCGTTTCTGCAGTGAGTCCGTTCTCCAGCAGGGCCTTTGGAGACAGGATGCCTTGGAAGTCAGAGTCAGCGGGCACAAAAGTGACCTGCGGGCCACAGAGGAGATGACCTCTCTGCAGCTGCCCGGTGGCTGCTTCTGCCTAACCTCAGCAGCTGCTCATCCAGGATGGGGACAGCAGGCAGGGCAGGCAGCATCTGCACAGACACAGCTGGGGCCCAGGGGACACCAAGCTGCTGCTCACCCTGGCTTTCCACCCACCCAAGCAGGTACAGGGAGCTCAAGGCTCCCTTCTGGGCCAGTGTCGAGTGAATGCGACCTCCCTGGCTGAGCTCACAGCTCATCAATTCCCAGGCTCCATCAGCACCCAGGCCACGGCCCCCCGCAGGCAGAGTGCTTCCCCACATCTGCCACTCTGTGCTTCCTGCCACTGAGACTGGGTGGGGTCGGAGAAGTGGGCGGCAGGGGTATGCCCCCGTCCCTGTTCCTGTCCCTGCAGCTTCCAGGATCCAGCAGTCTGTGTGCCCCACTCCCAGGAGTGGCCCTGGGGGGTAGGCAGGAGGCAGACCACGAGGGAGGCCGTGGGATGGTGTCAGAGGAGCCCTGTCCTCGGAGTTGGAAGTCAGGGGAGGCTGCTTCCTCCGTGGTGTCCTTACTGAGAGCCCCTGGCTGATCACCTCTTCCCTGAGTTCCCTGGACAATTGGGTGCCCCCAGCACCTCTGCTCAGAGCAGCATTGCATGCCCTTGCCAAAGGAGCCCAGGTGCCCACTGACAGGGAAAGCCCAAGCCATGCTGTGTACAAACCAGGAAACCCGACTCAGCCTCAGGAAGTGGGGACCTCCACACATGTTACCACAGGGACCCACACTGCCCTGAAAAGGAAGCCACCACAGCAGGACGCTGGTAGAGTCCACGTCTCGGCACTGCTGAGAGCAGCGGAACCTTACAGGAGGAAGCAGACTGGCAGGCACCAAGGGCTGAGCAGAGGGACATGGGGAGATGATGTCCGGTCTTCTAGGGCAGGGATGGCCAAGCTTTCAGACATGAATGAACTGCAACTAAAGACCCTCTTATTGATCACCAACTGCTGATCCTGTGATTAAACCTGAATGCTGAAGTTTTAGTTTAGAAAAAACAACTCACACAGCTCAGGGCATCATCACAGAGCAGACTCTGTGTGCCTGTTCAGCGCACAGAGGGGCTCGGTTTCATGAAATGAGATGCATTCCAAGGTGAGCGCACCCCACCATGAATGTTCTTAGTGCCATAGAGCTGTACGCTTCACAGGCAAGACAGAAGTTTAGGTTTGTTCTTGCAAAAATGAAACCCATTCAAGGCAGGCGTGGTGCTGCACACCTGCAATCATAGCACTCTGGAGGCTGAGTGAGAACCAGCCTGGGCTACAGAGTGAGCTCAAGGACAGCGACAGCCTGAACTACATAGAGAGACCCTGATTCAACAGACCAAAAGGGAAAAAGATTCGTCTACATAACCAATAAGAGGCAAAACATCTGTGTTCATGTATTTTATCATGATTTTTAAGAAGCCTCTGGGGTTGCTGCTGGGATCCTGGGAGATGACCTCGGGCGTCGTGACAGGCTGGTGCCCATGAGTCACAGTATGGCACTGCCTGGCCTCCCCAAGTCCTGCTCTCCTCAGTGAAAATGTTTTCAAGCCATATTTGCCGAGAGCGTACTGTGTTAAAACTTTACTCTCAAACAGCACTGAGAGGAGCACAGCGTCTGCCCCAGCAAAGCTCCACCCTAACGTGTGAAAGGGACCGTGAGGAGGGTGCGCTGCCCCCAGACGTCTGGAGGCAAGGCAGGGTCTGGGCATCCTTCCCACTGAATGGTGTTCTGCAGCCAGCTAGTTCTGTGCTTCTGAGAGGGCCTCTTCTCCCTTACTGCCTCCTGGCTCAGTCACTGTTACCATTTCCACCTCCATCACACCACTACCATCACCTCCATCGATACCATCACCTCCATCATCATCACTTTTGAGAGTAGAGTTGTGACCATCATCACCTCCATCGCTACCACCATCACCACCACCGTCATCACCTCCATCACCATCACACCATCATCACCATCACCACCATCACCATCATCACCTGCATCACCATCTCCATCTCCTTATCTCATTACCAGTCGCCATCATCAAAGTCATGAAATGCTGATGGAGGAGGGGGCAGGAGCATCTCAGAATACAGTCCTTGTTCTAAGGAGGAGCACAGGAGGAGTCAAAACTGAGGTGGAGAGGTCAGACCACAGAGACACCCAAACCTCACACTAGAGAGCTCAGCCCTTTCCAGAAGCAGAGGGGTCCCCGGCAATCTTGGCAGGAGACCCCCAGGGCGTCTGTGTCTAGAGCACTGAGCAGTGCCCAAGGGAGGAGCCTGAGAGAAGGGAGCCCATGGAAGTGTGGGTCCTGAGCAGGTAAGAGGGAGGGGTGGGGCTCGGGTACAGCCCTGCTCCCCACCACCCTGCTCCCTGCTGCTCTGCTGTCCTCCAGCTCTGGCCCCTCCCGGCCCCCTCCGTGGTCCCACAGCAGATCTGCACTGCTTGTGAGACTCTTCACCTACGCCTGAGCCCAGCCACCCACGGCCTGCCCAGGGCTGCGTTAGAAACTCAGAGGACGGACACCCTGCAGTGCTGGAGCTGGCCCAGCCACCCTGGGGTGCGTGTGTGGTGGGCTGGAAGCTCTGCTCAGCTCCTGCAACCTGGGGCACAAGGGAACCACTCGGTGACCGCCACCTCTCGCTGGGGCCGGAGAAGGAGCCACCTTGGGTCTGGCTGCCTGATCTTCCTCCCAGCTGCTGTCTCAGCCTCGGAGGGGAAGGCCCACAGTCCTGGCCCAGGCCCTCTGCCCTCGATTTTACCTTGACTTTTGTCCCCGCGCCCTATCAGCCGCACTAAACAATGGATGAAGCCCCATCACCTTCCCTGTGACTCTTCTTCCCTATCAGGCTCCCCCTGGAGGCAGCTCACAGAGGGTGGAAACTTGCCAGCCCTGGGACACACGACAGGAACAAGTTTTTGTTCCAAATTCATTTTATTTCAAGAATAGAAAGAAAGAAAGAAAGAAAGAAAGAAAGAAAGAAAGAAAGAAAGAAAGAAAGAAAGAAAGAAAGAAAAAGAAAGAAAGAAAGAAAGAAAGAAAGAAAAAAAAGAGGAGGAGCAGAAAGAAGAAGAAAAACTACAAAATTTCAAAGCACGTCAGTCAGGGGGCAACAATGGTACATACACTGCACATTGTCATCCCCAAATCATTCACCCAGAGCACAGACATCTGCATTCCATTGTCCGACAATATCGGTGCAAATCTTTCTCTTCAGTGAACTCAGAGAAATCAGTAAACTATATTAATTATCTTTGTATACACACACATACACATGTACATGTTTTTCCTTTCAGCTTCTCACACTGATGAAACAATTATGATGTTTACACATGTGTGTCTTATTTATCTCACTAATGAGCATGGTCCCAAGTTGCATCCATTTACCTATAAGTCTCTTCTTTATGGCCAAGTAGTACTCCATTGTATAAAAATACCACATCCTTTTTGTCCATTCCTTAGTTGATGAGCATTTGGGTTGCTTCCACTGATCTTCAGGTCTGTTTTGGTTTTTAAAATTATTTATGTATTTATTTATTTACCATGCTGTTTTTTTCTTTATTGGTGCCAGGGATCGAACTCCCAACTGCACACTTGCAAGGCAGGCGCTTATGCCACTGAGCTAAATCCTCAGCCCCTGTTTCTTTCTTTATCACAACAGTTTTATAGTATAGTGTCAAGTCAGGGATTGTGGTGCTCCCTGCCTTGTCTTTGTTGCCCAGGATTGCCTTTGCTATTCTAGGCCTCTTCTGGTTCCAGATGAATTTTGGGGTTGTTTTCTCTAATTCTGTGAGACATGCTGTTGGAATTTTGATTGAGATTGCACTGAATCTGTGTAAGAGTTTTGTAAGTATGGCTACGTTCACCATATTGGTTCTTACCATCAAAGAGCACAGGACATCCCTTCCCTTTCTCCTACCTTCTTGCATGTCCCTTTTTAGAGTACTGTAGTTTTCAGTGCAGTGCTCGTCTGCATCCTTTGTTAGACTGATTTCTAGCTATTTCATTTTTTTTTTTTTTGGATGCTATTGTGAAAGGCATTGTTTCCCTGATTTCTCTCTCAGTGAATTTGTTATTCACGTACAGGAAGGTTACTGATTTTGAGTGTTGACTTTGAAACCAGCCTGTAACTGAATTTAATTATTAAATCTAGTAGACGTTTGGAGTTGTTGGGGGTCTTCTAAGTAGAGTATCATGTCATCTGCAAATAAAAATAGTTTAACTTCTTTTCCTATCTTTCTTCCTTTTCTCTCTTTCTTTCTTCCTTTTCTCTCTCTCTTTCTTTCTTTCTTTCTTTCTTTCTTTCTTTCTTTCTTTCTTTCTTTCTTTCTTTCTTTCTTTCTTTCTCTCTTTCTCTAATTGCTCTAGCTAAAGTTTCCAGGTCTGTGTTGAATAAGTGGAGACAGTGGACATCCTTATCTTGTTCCTGATTTTAGAGTGAAAGCTTTCAGTTTTTATCAGAGATGGTTTTTATCAGATTGAGATAAAGCCCATCTATTCCAGTTTTCTGTAGAGTTTCATCATGAATAGATGCTGGACTTTGTCAAAAGCCTTTTCTGCACCTCTTGAGATGGTCATATGATTTTTGTCTTTGACTCTGTTAGTATGGTGTATTACATTTATGAATTTATGTATGTTGAACCATCCCTACACCCCTGGGATGAATCCCACTTGATCATGGTGTATAATCTTCTTGACAATTTGCCACAGTCTGTTTGCCAGTATCTTTTTGAGAATTTTTGCATCTATGTTCCTTAGGGGGATTGGCCTGTAATTCTCCTTCTTAGTTGAGTCTTTCTCTAGTTTTGGTATCAGGGTAATACTTGCTTCCAGGAATGAATTTGGAAGTATTGCTTCCCATTCAGTTTCTGAGAAGCAGTGGTGTTAGGGCTTCTCTAAACTTGTAGAATTCAGAGGTGAATTCATCGAGGCCTGGGTTTTTCTTTATTGATACGTTTTTATTTATTACTAGATTGAGATAAAGTCCTTTATACCTATGTTCGTCAGAGTTTTTTTTTTAAATAATAAACAGATGTTGGGTTTCTTCCTGGGATCGAACTCACAACTGCATGCTTGCAAGACAGATGCTTTTGCCACTGAGCTAAATCCCCAGCCCATTTTTATTTATTGATATTGCAGTTTCCTTTATTGATATTGGGTTGTTTAGGATTTTATATCTTCTTGACTCAGGTTTGGTAATTCATAGTATCTAGGAATCTGTCCATTTCTTCTGTGTTTTCCATCTTGCTACAATACAACTTTTCAAAGTGGGTATAGATGATTTTCTGGATGTCTGCAAGGTCTGTTGTGATTTCACCTGTTTCATTCCTAATTGCATGGATTTGAATCTTTTCTTTCCTTTTTGTGTGAGGTTGATTATTAATCTTTCAAAGAATCAACTTTTCAATTCATTGACTCTTTGTATTTTTTTAAGTTAGTTTTCAGTGTGTTAATTTCTGCTCTGATCTTTATAGTTTTCTCCCCTGTACAAGCTTTTGGCTCAGCCTGCTCTTCTTTTTCTACAAGTTTGAGGTTCACCTTTAAGTTGTTTATATGCTCTTGTTCTGTTTTCCTGATAAGGGCATTTACTGCTATAAATTTCCCTCTTAAGACTGTTTTCATTGTCTCACAAGTTCCACTATGTTTTATTGTCATTATCATCCAACCGTAAAAACTGTCCAATTTCTTCTTTAATTTCATCTGTGACCTCCTGGTTGCTCAGTAGGGTGCTAGTTAATTTCCATGAAGTTCTTGTGGTTTCCTTTGGCATAGATTTCCAATTTCACTGTACTGTGGCCTGACAGTATGCATGGGATAATTTGAATTCCTTTGCATTTATATAACCATGTACTAGGAGCCAGTATGTGTTCTATTTTGGAGAATGTGACAGTGACAATTTAATTCCTGTTGCTATGCTCACCCTCGTCCTGGCATCCTATTAGCTAGGCTGATCCCTTGCAGATACCTAGTTGGAACCAGGGCAGATCCCATTCACTAAGGCTTTCTATGTGTTGGGACTGAGAGTCCAGTAATTGAACCTGGGTAGATGCAGTGAGTGGGGCCAGAGGTGGGGAGACAGATCAGGGGCCAGAGGAGGCTGCCGGGGTTCAGGGACACTGTGGCATCCTCAACTACAACGCTGTCAGCTCCTGCTCTCACTGGGGACAACCTTGCAGGGCCTGGACTCACACACAAACACAGGCACACAGGCACTCCCAATGGAGCCCTCACCTCTGCTCTGTGCCAGGCATGGTGCCAGATCACCCCTACCTCCCCAGACCCCACCCACCATGCAGGGCCCAAGGCTGGGGCTCCCTCTGCCAAGGTCCCAGGAGTGACTCAAACCTAGGTCTGTGGGGTACAGGGGTTGATGTGGTTCCCCCCTCCCTCCCATGGCCTCTGGTCTGGAGAGCACAGACCTGAGAATCCATCAGCGGTTACTCATTAATACCCTATGGTGCTGGCCCACTGCCACCCGGTCACTGCTCAGCACCGAGCCCGCTCCCACGGGAGGGGCACGGGAGAGTTGCATCCCTACATCTAAGGTCCCCACCCCAGGCCAGTCCTGCGTGGGATTATAGTGGCAGTGGAGGTGGTGACACCCTGGCTTCCCCAGCCCTCTTCCTGGTGACCTCTTCCCAGCACCACCACTGCACAGAGTTGACTGTAAACACAGGGGAAATGGCCGCAAACCAGTGCAGACCGACTCAGGAACAGTGACAGCCCGGGGCACGGCGGAGCAGGCAGGGCCTCTCTCCTCCTTTGCTGCCTCAGCACAGGCAGAGGGCGGAGAGGGCCTGGCCTGGAGCCTCAGGTGGGGACCCTGTCTGCCCCACTGCCTCACTCACACCTCACACAGCTGAGGAAACTGAGGCTCAGAGAGGAAAGGGGCTCAAGCAAAGTCTCCCAGGCAGGTAGAGACGAAAGTCAAGTTGGACCCACATCTCTCTGTCTCCCAGAGTCTGCCTTTGACCAGCTGTGTGACCTTGGAGGAGGCACCCAACCTCTCCAGGCTTAAGGGGTTTACAGCTCCTGCTGCGTCCCTTCCACAGCGTTGCTGGGGACTTGGAGCAGAAACCACGGCGTCCTTCCCACATGCAGCACCCTGCAGCACACACTCCTGCGGCCCCTTCCCCTCCCACCAGCAGACAGAGCCAGATCCAGAACACAGAACTTCCAAGCCTGTGATTCCCATCACACACCCCTCACAAGGCCAGGAACGTACAAGACTCAAGAGTCTCAAAAGTATCCAGAGCTCATGTGCCACGGGGGTGGGACCTGCCCCTCCCTGGACCTTCCAGAACTCCAGGATGCAGGGCTAAGGGTCCACGGTAGAGAGAGGCCCAGCTGAGCTCCAGTACAAACTCTGCTAGTCAGCTGGGGAACCGCACCTTTCAGAGTCTCAGGCTTCCCCCTAGGAAATGGAGCTGCAGACAGCAGCCAAGAGGCTGGCGTGTGGTGGTGCACACCTGTAATCCCAACTACTCAGGAGGCTGAGATAGGAGGATCAAGAGTTCCAGGCCAACTTGGGCAACTTAGCAAGACCCTGTCTCAAAACAAAAAGGGCTGGGTGGTGGTGCAGCTCAGTGGTAGAGTGCTTGCCTAACACAAGCAAAGTCAACCCCGGAACTTAAAAAGTATTGAAAGGCCAGTTTAGAGCAGTGCTACACAGTAGCTGCTTGGTGTGAAGTAACTTCAGTGGAGCGCACACACTGGAGGGTCAGTGTCTCTCCATGATGTCCGGCTCAGGGCTCGAATCCAGGGGCTTCTAACAAACTCCGTGGGGAAAGATGGGTGAACAGATTAACCGGGGCAGTGGGGAACAGAGGAAAAACCAGGGAGTCAAGGCAGAAAGAGCAGGAAGATAGTTGAAAGAGAGGGGCTTGGTCACCAGGCAGGGGCATAGACACCGGCCCTCCTGGCCCCAGCCGCGCCCTGGCCACCGCTGCCTACCTTGGGGTAGCACTGGCACAGGCTCCAGATGACGCCCCCAATCACCATGACACTGCCCATGGCATAGAAGGTGCCGTAGACCTGGGGCCGATCGTGGCTCATGAGGAACGTGCCGAGGGACAGCAGGAAGAGCCCCAGCACGATGAAGCCGATTCGGAAGGTCTTCTCATCAGCCATGGCTGCCTGGCCAGCCCGGCCTCTGCACCCAGCAGAAGGGCTGCCAGTTAGTCCACCTACACCAGGGAGGATGAGCTCTGGGGTCACCACAGACCAAGGCTGCAAGTCAAAGGCAGGGCGAGGTGGCACGGGGTCCTGTGTCCAAGTCAGGCAGCTCTGCAGCCCAAAGGGCACACTTCAGAGCCAGTGCACCCAGCACCTTCCGCCACTCTGCACCTCTCACCTTCCCTCTGGGCACAGCCGGCCTGCGTGGAGCATGAGTCGGAGGAGGCTGGGAGGGAAGGGGGAGGTCCAGGGGCTGGACCCTGGCCAAGGCTTTGACATCACCTCATTTGCCTAGTGAGGGCTGAGTGGTGGATAGCAGGTGCCACCTTCCAGCCACAGGAAGCAGAGCTGGAAGGTCCCCGGAGGAGTCCCAGAGCCTGGGCTGCATTTTAGGATCCCTTCAAGGATATGTGCCCATCAGAGCTTAGGAGTGATGACTCTCCTAGAAGGCCTACGGCTGTCTCACTTAAGGGAAGGCTGAGAGGCAGCTGCCACGATTCCCACTTTACAGACATGCTCACTGAGGCACAGGCCACTGAATGACTTGCCCAAGGTCACAGCTGAACATGGCAGGACTCAGGGCTAGAGGTCCTGTGGCCAGCTACAGTGCAATGTAGGTGACCATACAGGTACAGAGCCCAGGTTGTGTGCTGGGAGGACACAGGGTGGGTTCTGGGCCCCTGCTGTGGGCCATGGATCTTGGCCAGGACAGCTGCCTGTGTCACAATTTTCTCCTCTATACAGTGGGATGACAGTCCAGCCCAGCACAGCAGCGGTCTCCAAGCTGGCCTTCTCTGCTGTCCTCATGCTGTGTGTCCCATGCAGACCGGCCTGTAACAACAATGGCCAGCGTGAAATAACACCCTGCAGGGTGTGAATGAGGAGCCTGGGAAGAGCCCAGGGGTTCCTGCGGCTCCCTCACCCCACTGTGTGTGTGTGGGGGGGGGCAGTTCACTCACCCCACCTGTCTCCCTGCCAGGAGGGATAGCCTTTGCTTGGGGCCAAGTTCAGGGTCATCACCAGCCCCACTCAGGTCTGGAAGAGGGAAGTGACAGATGGAGGGACAGCTCCCTGGTTCTTCACAGTGCAGGACCTTCCCGGAAGATAAGGTCATATACGAGGCTGAGACAGGAGGAGCAGGTCACGGTGGTGCACACCTGCAATCCCAGTGTGTTGGGAGCTGCCGGTAGGAGGCTCACGAGTTCTAAGCCAGCCTGGACAACTTAGCACAGAAATTCTGTCTCAGAATAAAAAACAAACAAGGGCTGGGGGTGTGTATGGTATAATTTTTAAAGTACGGTGAAGGTTTAATCTTTAAAATTATCTCTCTCGACAGCTCACTACAATGCAGTGTGTGTGTACTTGTATCTTGCGCTTGTCCTCTTGTTCTGCTTGCTCGGCCCAAGCTCGCTCTGCACAGCCAGTTTCTCTCCCACCCTTCACTTCTCCTTGTTAAATAAATTTTACCACTGCTTTTTTTTTTTTAAGAAAACATTTACTGCAATAAATGATACGATGCCATTAATATCCCCCCTCGGTTAGAGCACTCTTAACCTCTTGCTCCTGCCACTCTATGAGGTCCCGGAGTCCTGGAAGTCCTCTCCAGTGTCTTTTCATGGCGGATTCAATGCCTCGAATCAACTCGAAACGCTCAAAGCAGTTTCCGTCCAGTAAAACCCGACGGTGGCGTCCTCAACCCTCACTCACGGGACCTGGCGCCGCGTGTCTTGGGCTCTTCCCGAGTCACGATGACCATCATCTGGGGCGAGCCTGGACTCCCTGCGCATCCTCAGTCCTGCACCACGGAGGGCGCGGGAGGCGGCGACACCCCCGGCCGAGGCACCGAGTCCTGGAGCCTGGGCTCCTGCGCCCCCTTCCGGCGGCCGTTGCGCGCCCCACGGTCACGCAGTCCGCAGACCCCAGGGAAGGAGTGGGGTTGTCACCTCGGGTCGCGGCGAGGTAGGTCCCCTCTTGACCTTGCCTCGAGCTTGCCCGGTGGGTAGGGGCTCAAGGACAAAGGCCCTGGACCGGGTCACACTCGCGGGCGCGCAGAGGCTGTGAAGGGAAGGACACGTGCGTTTGACTGAGGCAGAAACCGAGGAGGGACAAAGGAGCTGCGGACCCTGGCTGGGGTCGTCGGGGTCCTCGGGGCTCTGTGGCCGCGCTCACAGTGACACCACGGTGGAGGCGCCGCCGTGCGGGAGGAGTCCGAGCCCCGCGCAGCCGAGGGCCGGGCGGGACCCGGGTGGGGCGCCGCGGAGACCCCACGGGCCAGACCGATCCGCTCCGCGGGCGAGTGGCCGGGTGCGAGGCGGCCCGAGGTCGGCGTGCACAGGTGGCCGCGCGCCCTCCTCATCGGCGCGTCCCTCCAGGCAGCTCCCGGGCAGCCCCAGCCTCGCCTCCTCGCCGCCCGCCTCCTCGCCGCCCGCCCCATCCCCGCGCTGTGGAAGCCACTCGCAGCCTGCGTGGTGGCGCACGCCTCTGGGAAGCTCGGGCAGGACAATCTCGTTTGAACTCGGCCTGGGCAACTCAGACACTTAGGGAGACCTGACTCAAAAAAAAAAAAAAAAAAAAAAAAAATTAAAATGGTCTGAGGTCTGCTCAGTGTGAAAGTCCTGGGTTCAAGCAGAAAAAGAAAAAGAAAAAAGACTCGAGTCACTTACTGCCCCGGACTCCCCTCATCAGCTGGTCTGAGCTCTTTGGTCTCTCCCTGCCCCTGGCTTCCCTTCCTAACCCCTGAAGTCTCTTTCTAACCCTAAAACTAGGTCACCCCTCTGCTCAGAACCCTGACAGCTCCCTGCCTTCTCAGAGACTTAGAGATAATGCAGGAGGCTCGGTGTCATGTGCTCCCTTGCCTGGTCACGCCACTCTGCACTCATCACTCCCTCTCCTTGGACAGCCCTGTCTCTGAGCTGTTCCTGGAATGCACAGGCACCCCAGGCCATTTGCATCCGCTGTTGGTTCTGCTGGAATGCTCTTCCTCACCCGGCTCACATTTAAGTTTCCATACGGGAGTGACAGATCCAGGTGCTGCGGCTGTTAGCAGAAGGCTGGGGGTGCTTTCAAACAGGGATGGACTAAAAGCCATGGAAAGGGCGGCCTAACAACATAAAGCCTGACCAGAACCCAGGGGAGCCTGGGTCAGCACCAGGGAGGCCTGAGCTTTTGGGGCCCCGACCCCCAGGTCCCACAGGCAGGCCCAGCAGGGGATAAGGCAGGGGGATGATGATCCTGATGGTCCCCTTGCCTTAGCTTATCAGGATGGCCACTTGCCTGGCTGAGGCTGCCTCTGTGGCCTTGGCTCTCAGCCTCCAAGTGACCTCAAGCAAGTCACTACCCTTGCTGGGGGCTTCCAGTTCGACCCGGATGAGCACTGTGTGGCCAGGAAACACAGGGAAATCCTCCTGTCCTTCTAGCCACCCTGTCCCTCCAGCTTCTGTCACTCATTAGCTCGCTTGCCTGGGGTAATTTCCCTGGTTTTGGGTAGGAGGTGGGTACTGAAGGCTGCAGGGTTGTGAGGGTCTGGCCACTGCTGTGTCTAGCCCAGGCCCCCAGGAAGGCAGGCCCAGGTGTCTCCCTGACCTTGCCTGATCTACGTGAGAGCCCCAGTGCTTTACAGCGACTGGGAACACGGTTCGGATCTGGCCAAGCTCACTCTTGGCACTGAACTGAGAAGACTGGGAATGGGGAATAAATGGGCAACTACAGGACGTCCAGGAGGAAGTAGACCAAAGTCTTGTCCGATGGCCCAGCCAGGCCCGAGGGCAGCAGGGCTCAGACCTCGCTCTTCCATGGGGCCGTACACTCAGCCTGTCTGGAGCAGCTCTGTGAGGGGCCCATGGGAGAAGCTCCAGCCCAGAGCAGGCTGCTGGGCTCCATCCTTACCCAGCCGGCTGAGCCCAGGTCTAGGAACCCTGCTTGCCATGGTACCTGGTGAGGTCGCACAGCCACATGGGGCTGGTTTTGTCATCTGAACCCAGTGCGGTGGAGATGCAGGGTGGCTGCTGGACAGACAGCTCCTCCCCAGGGAGAGTGTGGGAGGCAGTGGGCACCCTGTCTCCAGACTCAGCACCTGGTAAAGAGGCCACCTGTACTAACTGCAGCACTCAGCCCCAGCCCGAAGCAAAGTCAAGGACCTGTTATGAACCACGCTGGTGGTGACCCCACAGTGTCAACTGAGGACATCTCCCTCACCTTTTCCCCAGACTGTGAGGTGGGGCTAAGCCCCTTAACTGTCCCAATTCCATTTTACAGGTGAGGAAACTGAGGCAGAAAGAGAACAAACCACCATGCAGGGTCACCAGGTGCCACGCTGGTCCTGTGTCACTTGACCCTGGGCTTACAGTGGGGATGCAGGTGAGTGTGGCATCCTCCACAGAGGGTTGGATGCCCCTCTGGGCCGTTACCTGCTACGGAGGCCAGGACACAGGCTTTGATTCCAGTGGCATGGGTACAGGAGTCCTTGCTTTGGAGGAGGGGCTGCTGCCTGAAGCTGCTCACACAGGTGCTGGTTCAGGGAGCACAGCAGGGAGCCCATCCCGACAGGAAGATCTGGGGCCTCAGCTGCAGGCATCAGTTCCCCCAGCCTGCCTGCCACTGCATGCAAAGAACAGTCCAAGAGGACGTTCCCACACACAGGTGGGAGCCTGGGAGACATGGGCGGCTGAGCTAGGCAGCATAGCCAGGGCCAGCTATGCAGGATGAGAAGGCAGGCCGTGGCTGGGGCACTCGCATAGCTCCTCGCTGTTTTTGCAGAGTTGAGGGGCCAGTGGCAGGGGAACCAGCTCTCCTGCCAGTGCCACGTCCACCAGCGGGGCCTCAGAACCACAAGTGTGAGCTGTGAAAAGGCAGGTGCAACTGGAGGTAGAGGCCTCCTGGGGGAAGCCCACTGGGACCCTTGAGTGCCAGCCACTGGCAGGAACGGAGGTCTTCAGGTCTGCACAGCTAGTAGCCAGTGGCCCAGGTGAGGACAGGAGTGGCAGGTGCACCTTGCTCCTCAGAACTGAAGGTGCTCCTGGGCAGCAAGAGGCAGGGCTGGCAGGGTCCTGCTGACTGCTCAGGGGATAATCTGACAGGGTGGTTTCCATGGAATTCACCTCTCTCAGCACTCCCCAAATACAGCCTGCAGCTGGTCCCCAGCCGTGGGTGGTTAGGGGTCCTCACCAGAGAAGCATCCCAGGGCTCCGGATTGTCATGGCT